TATTTCCTCAGCAAGTTGTGCAATGCCACAACAGTGTGCATAACAAGTGAGATGAGCTTCAACACCATGTGCTAGATAACTGCCAAACTCCATACCAATGCCAAAGTCTCACTACATGAAAAAGACGGATGCAAAATTATCCGTCACAGAACAGCAGCCTTTAAGAGTGTTACATGTATAACAGCGTCCAAATGCAATAAAAAGAATAGAAATGAAGACAAAACTGACCTGTTTAGTTCAAAACCAGTGACATCAAGCAGACCAACAAGTTTGTCCAAATTTCCTTTTAGAACCTGAGGAGTTTCAAATGTGTAAACAGGGAAAATATAAAGAGATGAAATAAATGCTGTCAATCACACAACCACGACAAGTCCAATGCTCATGTGGAAAGACGTCTTCCTTGGCTGATATTCATTTTAAGTCCCACTGAAGGAAGGTTGTAGATTTCTTCAAATAAAATTTCCAAGCAACCGTCAATTTCACAGAGCTTCTAAGATGACAACATACATGTATTTATGAGGATTCACAAAGCAATACACATAATGATGCTTATTTTCTGAGCTTAGCACATTTTTCTGCACATAACTTCATATCATTTGCTGTAAACGTAACCTACTGAGCCTGCTCATTTTCTTCTTAAGCAGTAAAAAAACTCAATCTTGAAGTCTACTCTACACTACAATCTTACTACCCTCCAAATTACCCTGTCTTCAATGAGTTTGTGAATGTGTGGTTTCCACCAGTGTTCCTTGATGCCTTTTGCTTCTAGCACCAGACCGTCATGGAGCTCACACAACTTTTCAATGATGCAAGGAGGGTCTGGTGGTACGGCGTAGTTACGACTTGAATAATTCTCTGGAAGACCTGAGGAATACCATTTGAAAAACAAAGGCAAAACAGAGACTGAATTCAGATAGAAGCAAGACCTAAGAAATCTCTGAACACTGATAAAACGACATTTGCAACTGCATACCATGCATTTTAAACCAAAGAAAATATTCCCTTTCCTTTTCATGGATTTTGTATTTGAATATTCAAATTCAGAATATAATATTCGAATATTCGATCGAATATCCAGTTAATCGGCACAACCCTATTCCTGCACCCAGACCTGTTCCTGTACCCAGACCTGTTCCTGTACCCAGACCTGTTCCTGTACCCAGACCTGTTCCTGTGCCCAGACCTGTTCCTGTA